AAAAAGACCATGCAACTTTTATTCGAAACATTTTTTGATATCTCTTACAGTTTTGACGATATTCAGTCAAAACCAAAAAAACCGTTTTAGCTTGTAGGGGTTGTTTCAACCCTAAACGTGCGAGAAAGCACATAAAAAAAAATACGTGTCTCTTATTTTGAGCTACTTTACAACATATTTAAAGCTTGTCAAAAACGGAGGGGGACACTTGGGTCTCTTTCCTTGTTAGTGTAGACGGGCGAAAGTGGTCGGATGAGCCACAAGTAGGATTATCCTTTCGGTGTAGATAGGGCATAACGTTAAGGACGAAATACCTAGTAACTTTTGCAGACATTATATAATTCGTCTACTAGAGACATTATTCTAAATAAATTATTTATTAAAATAATAATTAATGTAATAATTTAAATCGCCGTTCTACACAAAATTGATATATATATGTGAAATTCCTTCCTCAATAATAATAATAAAATTTATTCTTATTTCTTTCGAAATCTCTTCTCTTTTTTTACATAACTTGACATTCTTTTATATACTTAGGCATAAATCGAATTTGCATTGGAGCATCAAAGTAACTAAAACAACATACAAATATTGAATTGCATCCAGTTGCTCTTTACACCTTGGTGCGAAAGATACAAGTCGTCGTGCACAGTATCGCATTAACTGCTGACAATGAGTATATAGTGTGTATTTGATTATTTAGACTATTTTGTATAAGCAATACTATTATATTTTATTTTTGTTTAAAATGTTTCGTGCTACAGTTGATTTAACTGAGACAGTTACCACTGGTCTGCATAGAATTGTGAAATATTTAAAATATAAACAAAATGGCATCAAACTCAGAAAATCAGAACGACAATCACATGAATTACCGCATAGATAATGCAACAACAGACAAACGTTATGAACTCGCCGAGGCAAAGAACGCAATGAAATATAAGAAGCACGTGGTGAAGAATATGAAACATTTCACGGACCAGCATACAAAGTCTAACAACGAATGGACGTCTAACAATGACGAATGGACGGATAAAGAATATGAGCATACAATGGAAAATATGAAAACGTATATTCCAAAATTGCCAAATTCTTTATTGTTCTTCATATCGGCCGCGCTACATTGTGGAGATTGCGGCCGAAGTGCAACAAACAGACCGCTCTGGTTGGATATAAACATGTTTCAGAGAGGACAAAAATTCGCACGAGAACACATCTTCTCGATCTTCCTCGCTAACATGCTGTCACTGTTCCAAATATTTACTTTTAGAGACGGTCTCAAACCGATGATTTTGAGCCGGCAATCTCACACGCCGTACTTAGCGTTTAGAAGGTATAAGTTGTAATAATTTCGACAAAATTTTTCAAATATATGAAAAGATTTCTACATAACTTAATAATTAGATTTAAATCAAATAATTTATTCTTCTATTAAACTTGTATTTCTTATAATGATAATGGTATATTTACAGAAATCATTCAATATATAAAAGAAGCTCGAGAAATAACAAAAAAGACAGAAATTACGGAATTTTTACTCTACTGCAAATAATTTATAGATTAGAATAGATCAGAATAGATTAACTATAAGCT